TGAAGCATTCATCTTCATTCTGCTTTTTCAGCCTTTGTGGAAATGGAGGTGGTAATTTCTTTTGAGGAACGGGTACCTCAACATTGGAGCGTTTTACTACCTCTTCCACCTTCTTTTCTTTGTTACTTACCTTAGTATCTTTTTTTTTTTGGAGCTAGTTCCTCTAATTGTAACCCACTTCTAGTACTTACCGCATGCAATTGTTTTGGGTTGGGCTCAGTATCACCGGGCAGCCCACCTTGGAGACGTAAATTCAAAGAATTAGCCACTTGCGCAACTTGTTTCTCTAAACTCATTTGGGACATTTGAATGTTTCTGATGTTCTTATCTTGCTTATCTATTCTAGCATTTAATTTGGTCCTTATCTTAGTCATGAGCTTTTGGAGTAGCTCTTCATTGGTCATCCCCCCTTTTGGTGCACTAGGATTTGAGCCTTGGTTAGGATTGAAGTATTGTTGCCCAGCCCCTTGAGAACGATATTGGTTAACCCCTTGCGCCTGATTTTGGTTTTGGTTACCACACCATGAGAAGTCAGGATGGTTCTTCCAATTAGGGTTGTAAGTGTTACCATAATTTTGTTGCACTCTACCCCTTTGCGCATTACACACATAGTTTACGGAATCCGGGTTTGCTTAACATTTCTCGGTTTCATGAGTTCCACTACCACATACCTCACACCAATTTGCTGTCTGTTGTACCACGTTTATCGGTGCCTGATTTAGAGCCATTTGTTTAAAATGTAAGGTCATGTTATGTTGCATTACATCTAATTTGACATTTATGGCAGTAGCTTGGTCTACATCTAAGATCCCTGTAGCTTTTTGGTTGGGGTTCTAGACATTTCCCCCTCATACCCTTGGTTCCCTTCAGAAAGTTTATCGAGTAAGGCGAAGAACTCTTCACTTGTTATGGATAAGGCCTGTCCACCTGCTGCACTATTAAGAAGAGCACGAGCATTATAGTCTAAATCTTCAAAGAAAGTGTGAGCAAATATCTCATTGGTTTGCATGTGATGTGGGCAAGCATTCAACATTTGTTTGAAACGCGCCCATGCTTGGTACATGTCTTCCCCTTGCTTTTGAACAAAGTTTATTATCTCACCCCTCAGCTTAGCGGTTCTCTTGGATGGGAAAAATCGACTCAGAAACTTCTTTGCTATATCATCCCAAGTAGTGATGGAGTTTGGTGGCTCAGAGTCTAACCAACGCCTTGCAGCTTCTAACAATGAGTATGGGAACAAAGTCAACCTTAGATAGTCTGATGAGACTCCAATTGGAATGTATGTATTGATAATATCTATGAAGGTCCTAAGATGGATTTGAGGATTCTCATGGGGGAGACCAGTGAATTGCCCATTAGAATGGAGAATATGTACTATGCTCTATTTTAGTTCAAATCTACCCCCCGGTGGAGGTTTCCTAATACTGGATGTCAAATTAGTTGTAAGTGGGACTGCCACATCACGGACTGGTCTTGCGGGTACGACAGACAGTACTCTTTGGTTATTTGGGTTCCTTTGGTTATTCACGTTTTCCGGGTTATTCAAATTGTCTTGATTGTCATCATCAATATTTTCCGGAAGACCTATCCCCAATTCTCCATGTAGTCCTTGATTCGCTATTCTCCTGCACTGGCGTAAAACTCTCTCGAGTTCGTTGTAAGGTTCGACAAGTTCGCTTTTCCGAGCCAGACCTGAAAGTCAAGTGCTTGCAATAAACAAGCTAAGATCAAGTAATTAATACCTGAATATTTTAATTGTAGACTTAAGAAAATTGAATATAAATCAATTTCTAAGTCCCAGGCAACGGTGCCAAAAACTTGTTGCTCCCCAGTATACACGCAAGTGTACATGGTCGCACAAGTAATATAGTGGCTCTTAAAAGAATCAGATTATCGAACCCAAAGGACTTTTCAATTAACTATTTTTACTAAATTATATTGGTCTAATTATTTATTTGAGAGTGTCAAAAGAAAAGAATGCAGGAATAAAATAATGAGAGTACTTACAATAGTTAGAAAATTTCAGGGTTGCAGCATGTATTGAATCTCATGTATCATATTATAGGCTTAGAACTAATTTCAGTTGACAAGTTACTGATTTATAGGGTTAATTGTATGAGTCGGGCTACACACCTCTAGTCGCCTACTCCAATTAGCTATCTAACTACATCGTTGAGCCGGGATAAATAGACTAACTGGCGAGCATTTATATTTCATCCTAACGAAGCAAGTTGTTCGTCCGGGAGTCATTCCTAAACACAAATCACCTCAATCAAATGGGTCGATCAAGCTCTCTATATTCTCTAATCTATCTAATCCCTCCTCTCTCGATTTTAAGATTAGACAATATATTTATCTTACGGTGATCAAGCATAAAATACTAAAACAAGAATATAAAAGTAACTTATAATGACAACAAAAAATTAATTTCATAAAGCGTTAAATAATCAACATTCGATTCGTAGCTACAGTCTCAGAATAAGGGCTTTAGCTACTAATCTCTAAGAAAATAAGAAGAAGAAAAGAACCCTAAAATGTATTAACGACTCTCTCTTCAAAAGTGTCTCCTTCTTACTCGATATTGGTTGATCTCATTCAATAATTATTTCTATGGACTATTTATAGATGTAGAAAACCATAAATAAAATAATTGAGTCCAAAACAAATTAAAACCATAAAGGAGTTGAATTCCTTTTTATTTTCGGTGTGAACCAGTGCTCCACCGCCTTCAACTAGGGGTGTGCATTCGGTTTTTTGGTTCGGTTTTGTGTTATTCGGTTTGGATTTTTCAATTTTTTATTTTGAAAAAGTATAACCCAATCCAAATAAAAAAAATTAGTTCGGTTCGATTTTTCTCTTTTCGGTTTGGTTTTTTTCGATTTGGCTATTCGGTTATAACTTATTTCATAACTAATTAATAACATAATCAAAGTTGTATTTGCATGCTTAAAAAATAAAATTCCATATAAGGAAAAGTAATAATATTGAATCTCTTAAATATCATTTCCATTATAATCACGAGTAAAACATTAAAACACAATACTATCAATAATTTCAATGAAACTAACTCTAAACTCTAAAGTACTATGACTAAACACAAATCGCATCGAGGTTGAACCAGCAATTCAACTCATGTCTTCAATTAAGATCTCTTAAACCTGAAATGTGATGAAAAAACTTTTTAGAAAGAAATAGATACAAATTTCGAAAGCAAATAGCACACAAATAAAATAAAGCAAGAAAAAAGAGCAAACTGCAAAAGTAAAAAAGTTGACTAGCGCCGCTAATTCTAGTTCTGCTAAATTTTTTTTCATAAAAGTGCAAGTAATATGTGATATTTATAGTTATAATGTAAAACCTAATGCCTAAAATTTAGTGAAATAGGATGGCAGTAATTTGATATGGACCTAAATATTACGGTAATACTGAATTACTAGTACCCTACTGCCTACATAGTAAACCTATATATTATATGTGTAATTATTTATCTATATATATATAAAAAAAATTAGGTTTTTTCGGTTTTTTCGATTTTCATTTTTCTAAATCCGAAATCAAACAAAAAAAAACAAACAAAGTAACTTATAAATCCAAAACCAAATCAAAAATCCAAATTACAATTCAATTTGATTTTTCGATTTAATCCAAATAGTGCACGCCCCTACCTTCAACATGTTGTTGCAGCTCTTCAGTGACTGCCACGTGGAATTTTCCAATTCCAATTCTACTTCGACCAACATATATATTATTTTATAAAGTTTAATCCATTAAGCTGTCTGTTTGATTTTCTTCTTCAACCTTTCATATTTAATTCGTTTTAGCTTCAAACTTCTTCAACTTTACACCAATTTACTCCTATAAATAAAATACATTATTTAGCACAATCTCTAAAATTCATGCTAAAAAAAACAAATATAAATAATAAATATAAGACAAATAATGATTAAAAATATATATATTTGGCCTCAAATCAGGTAGTAAGAAATGAATGTCAATCTAATCTCATCCTAATTTGAAAGCGTGACATAGACATATTTGTCCCCTTCTAATTTTATGTTTTTGTTGTGTAGCTACTATAATGAAAGCAAAAGTATCCATTACATGAAGCTAAGTTGCATTATCAAGAAAAAGATAACTCTTCCAAATGCTCCCACCATTGACATTTTTATTCTTGAACTAATAAGCCCCACACTTCACTCATATACCCTTCCTATTTCTCAAGCCTTTTTTTTTAATTGTACTTGTTTTATCTTTATTTTTTTAGAAAAAAAAGCATAACCACGCTTTCACATAAATGGTTATGCTTATTCAAATATCATAAACATCAACACAAAATTTATCTCTCTTTTTTTATTATTTTCCGTTCGGTGCCCGATAATCTATTTTGAAACTCGACTAATTCGAATTTGTGTTAGATATGACCCCATTCAGAAATAGCGCTTCCTAGCCACGATTTCTCCATATCCAAGATTTGAATTCAAAAACTCTACTTAAGAAAAAAACAGTCCAGCCTCATCCACTTCACCAAAAAAAAAAATCATACCCAAGACTCAAATCCAAAATTCTAATCAAGAGTCCGTTTGAATTGGCTTAAAAAAGGAACTTTCAAAAATCAAACTTAGATTACTTTTAAGTAAAAAAATAAAAAGCAGTCATACTTTTACATTTAACTTATTTTAAAAACTTATTTTAAGCGGGTGAAAAAAACTTGTTTTAAGTTATTTTTAAATTTGTCAAACACTAAAACTAAAAATAACTTTAAAATAATTTAACCAACTCTTAAGTCACTTAAAAAAGGCTCTAAGAGACGAACAGTCTAGCCTCATCCACTTCACCACACCACAGCTAGAATCAAAATATATCCTAATTAAAAGATGAAAAAAAATCCACTAAATTTCCAAAAGAGAAAAGAAAAAAAACAAAATGATCTAATCCTCCCATTAATTGCGTGGGTCCATCTTTACAAATAAACAACAATGACCCAGTGACACGTATAAACCACCCAATAATTTTTATTTTTGAGTTTGGGCATAGAGGAGTTTTGGGTTTAACGAGAAAAATACCCACCACTTACCGCCTGAACAAAGCTTGATGCTCTTTCTTGTCATCTTCTTCCTCTCAGCCGATCCAGTAGCTCTAACTTAATCTCCATGAACTTGTAATCTGATTTTTCTCCGTCTCAGAAATGGTATGTGCAGGCCGAATACTGTATTTATCTTGTTCAACGACGCCGTTTTCTCCATCCACTTCGGCGTTTCCTACCTCAACATATATCCTCCATGGAAATCGTAGAAATAGAATTACATGCCGATCCATGGCCTCCGATGCTGATGCATCTTCATACGCTACTTCGTTAGATTCTGAATCCTCCGATAAAAACGCCGCCGGGTAATTTTGAGGAATTATTTGTTTGAATGTTTCGGTACTTGTGATTAATTATTGAAAGTTATAAGGAAGGGATAAAATTGACTGTTTAGAGGATTTGGGATTGATTGTACAGGTTTTGTATAATTGAAGGACCTGAGACAGTAGAGGACTTTGCTAAAATGGAGTTGCAGGAAATTCGAGATAATATTAGAAGTAGGAGAAACAAGATATTTTTGCATATGGAGGAGGTATATTTCTTCTTCTTCTTCTTTTTCAGAATTTGTATTTATTACTGTTATGTCTACTTAGCTTTGTGTTTAGTATACTAATCATTTAATTTGAAGTTCTCCAAGGTATATAACTGGAAAATAATAGTAATGAGCCTAATCATAACTCTACATAGCAAACATGTTTTTATCATGATTATTGATCACACATAATTCATATTAAGGACCGGAGAAATGTATATAAACGACACAATAAGAAAGAAAAAGTTTGCAAGACTAGGTGATTCTTCCCATTTGTCCTTGCCTTGGTGGATAGAGTTACCTGGTACTTGTTGCTGGTGAGAAGGGGTAGGTATCCCGTGGAATTAGTCGAGGTGTGCGAAAGATGGCCTGAACACCACGGTCATTAAAAAAAAAAGTCATCAAAAAGGCTGCTAGACGTTTCACTTATATGAAATTTACTGTGGTTTTTATTACAATTTCGCCAATATGAAATACAACCTGCTTTCAGTATTGCCACTCAATGTATCTGTGTTGCCTATCATGAATAGAGATGTTACCATTGTTATTTTGGTCAGACTCCTTTTTGAGATTTGAAGTATCTATACTTATATCCATGTTATCTGTGCTCTGAGTTTGCTGTGGGACTGGGGAACGAAGAGGTTTGATTGCTATAGTTGCATAAATCAGATATTTATGCTCTTCTAGTGTCAAATTTTTTATTCCTTCTATCTTCAAACTTGAGCAGGTACGCCGGCTAAGAATACAACAAAGGATAAAGAGTGCTGAGCTTGGGATACTAACGGACGCACAAGAAAATGAGCTTCCTAATTTCCCATCATTTATTCCCTTTTTGCCTCCTCTTGTAAGTACTCTTAGCTGTTGCAAAATGTTTATGTTAGTGGTCAGCAACTTATAATAACCTAACGTCCCAGTTAACATAAAGTAAGGAGATCCCTTTTTTTTTTTCGTGTTCTCCAATCTGTGTAAATTTTCATGGACTTTTCTACCTCTTTTTTCCCCCTTTTGGTTGGTCGCGCTGCAGGCTACAGAGTATTTAACTGAATTTTTTATGTTTTGCAGACATCAGCAAATCTAAAGCAATATTATGCTACTTGTTTATCCCTCATTGCTGGATTTATGCTTTTTGGTGGACTTCTAGCACCCAGTGTAAGTTTTTCTTTTAACATTTTTACTTTTCTTATTATTGTTATCATTTGGCCAATTGACTTAAAGGTGAAAATCTGATTAATTTCTGAGGAGTTCTTAGATGCTAACAGTCAGTTCAAACTCCTATTTATGCCTTATGGAGCCTACTACTTTACCTTCTAAAGCATGCTCATATTGCTGCAGTTGGAGTTAAAATTGGGACTAGGAGGCACATCATATGCCGATTTTATTGGAAGCATGCATCTACCAATGCAACTGAGGTATGTTTACATTATTGTATGTTTGCTCAGTGAAGAAGTATATTCACTTCTCTACCACGAACAACAATGGATTCATAATATATAGGCTTACCAAAACAAAGGTCCAAAACTATAGGTAAAAAAAATATGTTCTCACTGCTGGTAATCCGTAGAGGCATCTTTATTGAATTTAGGTCATTAAAATGTAGAACATAGGATGCTAAAATGACAATCTAAAGGGTCCTTAAGTGTGTGCAAAACTATGTCATAGTGTTCTTGTTGGTTTAGTAGATAAGACAAGGCACCTACTTTATTAGCGCAACTTTGAATTACTCGAATGCTTGACCATTTTTTAACAAATGTGCCACCCTTTTCACAAATACAGCAACTTCTTTCTCTTAGTAATGAGTTGTAATTAGTGCATGGAGAGAATTATGATATATGCAGATAATTCATGGTAGAGTTTGTTTGTGAAAACCTTTTTGAAAATTTTCAAATTACATGCTTGTTAGGTTTTCCAAAAATATTGTATAATGAAGAATGGGAAAGGGGCAGTTTTTTATGGGAAAAGTTCTAAAAAATAATAAAATCTTCAAAAACTTCAGCTATCCAAACATGTTATAGAACAAATGTTTTCTTCCAAAATCTTTTCAAAAGAACTTCTTCCTGAAAATTTTCCAAACAAATCTCACAAGGAGCACATTAAGGGTGTGTTTGGTATGAAGGAAAATGTTTTCTTGGAGAACAAGTGGATTTCTAACTTATTTTCTCATGTTTGCTTGGCAAGTGGAAAATATTTTTTAATGTTTGGTTGGTGAATGAAAATTTTGTCAGAAAATATCTTTCATTTTTTACTTGAGACTAAAAAATACTCTTTAGGAAAATAATTTCTAATCCGAAATCAATCCCGATAATTGATCTAGGACCCGACCCCAACACCAAAACTAGGACAAGACCCCAATGACGGTTCCAAAATCCAACCTTGAGATTTGACCCAGAACCTAACCCAAACTTTCGACCCAGGACCTGACCTAGGAAAAGAATTTTCAACGGGGTCGCGCATGGGGGGCGGTTTGGGGGGGTAGAGAGGGTAAAAAATGAAAATTTTAAAATTTGAAATATTTCCCAAAAATAATTTAAAATCTTAAAATTTTCAAAAATAGTATTTAATTTTTTTCTTTTTTTGTTTGGGGTGGGGGGGATGCTGGTTTGATGGTAGAGATAAAAATATACTTGAAATTTTAAAAATAAGAAAATTTAAAAAAAATAAAAATTGAATGGGAGGGTCGGGTACGGGGTATGGGTAGGGTAAGAAAAAAAATTAAAGGATGAAGTAGAGTTTTGGAAAATGTTTTCCTTAATTTTGGAAGGAAAGTCATTTTCCTTAAATTTGAGGAAAATGAGTTGATTTGGAAAACATTTTCCAAACATTTAAGGCCAACCAAACATGGGAAAATTGGAAAATGTTTTCTTCCATACAAAACACACCCTATATGCTTATCAATTTTAGGTGTGTAATTGACTTATTATTGAGACATTCATCTTATGTTGTGAGAAGTCAGAAAGTTCTCCACGATCTCTTCCATATAAGTCGCTTATTAGTTTTATTCTTGAACTATTGACAGCCTTAAAAACATCCATTAACTTGACCAACTTAAATACACCCCCGATCTTGTGCCAAGTTTAGGGGTGTAAGTATTCCTACTTGGTAAAGGATTGTATTCTAGTGTCTATAAATAGGATCTCATGTAATAATGTAGAAACAACAACAATTCAATAATATTTTTTTCCAATATTTCTCACATTGTATCAGAGCCTCTACGATCTTGGTAGAAAATTAAAGAGTTTCCGCTGCCGGCGGGTGGCACCCATATATGCTACCCGTCTGGCCAATGATTATGTTAACAAAAGTAGGACAAATGATACATGCATGAACCCCATGTTCAAGGGAAGAAACTCAGTCAGCAGGTCACCATGCATCAATTTTCGGTGACTTTCTAGGGCTGTTTTGTATCAACCCCATATCCGTTGGTATTTGTGTAGCACCGTTCCATCTTTCCGGTGACTACTTTTTCATATTTAATTTATGTAGACTGTGCCATCATACCGGTGACTACTTTCTTATATCTAATTTGTGTAGCACCGTGCCATCATTCCGGTGACTATTTTTTCATATTTAATTTTTGTAGCACCGTGCCATCATTCCGGTGACTACTTTTTCATATATAATTTGTGTAGCACCGTGCCATCCTTCCGGTGACTTATCTTTTTTTTTTGCATATCTGATTTGCGTAGCACCGTGCATCTCTCCGGACTACTTTTCATATTTAATTTGTGTAGTACCGTGGACTTTTTTGAACTATTTTCTCATATCTGAGTTGCATAGCATCATGTGTCCTTTTAGTGATTCCTCAGATTTGATTTGCGTAGTTCCATTCGTCTTTCCGATGACTCCTCAAATCAGATTTGCATAGGGTTGTGCCATCATTCCAACTCTACCTGTACAATTTTTCTTTTTCAGTAGGGTCGTGCCATCATTCCGACCCTACCCATGTTGTTTCTCTTTTTCAATGGGGTCGTTCCATCAATTTGAATTATCCTATATAATTTATATTTTCTAGTTGGGTCGTGACATCATTCCGACCCTACCCATATAATTTTATTTCTTAGATTGTGACCACTTTTAGCCATCAAATCTAATACTCCGGCATATGAGCATGTTCCGGCCAGTTTTTCGGTGACTTGTTTAATATCGGCTCATCTATTGATTCCAACATGATACATAAATTTTATACTAGATTTTTGAGCACTTTGTTGCTCAGGGGGCCTTGTATGTCGATTATGTGAGTCACTCTATGGTCTGAAATAGTCTTTGCAAGTTTGGTTTGGAAAGTTCAACACTGTAGTTTTATCACTCTGTGTTTTATCGGCATTATGCATCAAATTTCAATATTTCATGAGAAGATTAAGCACATTGAGATTGACTGACATTATGCATCAAAATCAAGTATTTAATGAGAAGACAAACACATTGAGATTGCCTGTCAATTTTGTGAAGTCGACTGATCAACTTGCAGATATCTCACCAAGCCCCTCATTGGTCCTCGTATTAATTACATTTGTAACAAACTAGGTACAAGAATTGTATGCACTAGCTTGAGGGGGAGTGTTAGAATATGAATAGGTTTATACAATCCTATTAGAATAGGAATAGAAATAGAAATAGGAATACTAAATAGTATCCTACTTGATAAAGGATTGTATTCTAGTGTCTATAAATAGGATCTCATGTAATAATGTGAAACAACAACAATTCAATAATATTCTTTTCCAATATTTCTCACAAAAAGAAAGATAAGTTGCAATATCTGCAGCTTCTTTTTCCTTCGATTTTTCTTCTACTGTATGTTGAGGGAGAGGAAATACATAAGATCTTAAGATCAGCAATTCTAGGAGCAAAGCAAATGCAGGACTAAACTTCAGGGATTCATTTTTAGTCATTACTAGAGAAGAGTAGTACCAAGAGAAACCATTGCTCACAAGTTTTTATTTATGTTGGATAGATCTGGAACATGATGATACTTGCTAATCACTTTTGAAACTGAAAGTGATATAAAGCCAATGAAGCCATAATTTTTAAGTATTATTAAAATTTCAGTTTTTGGGTTATATATCATATACTTGAAAGATCTATTTGATGCTTTGTGCGTGTATCTGTGTGCAACAATTTCATAGTATGTTAATGCACTTTGCAGTCAGGTTGATCCAATTGTGGCATCATTTTCTGGGGGTGCAGTTGGGGTGATCTCTGCTTTGATGGTTGTTGAAATCAATAATGTGAAACAGCAGGAGCATAAGAGATGCAAGTACTGTCTTGGAACAGGTGTGTAATCCGTTAATAATTCAAAAATTTAAGTCTAGTTACTTTACAAATCGGTTCAAGCTATTGAAATAGTTTGACAACATATTATGGAATTCTCCTAGCAACATCTTTTTCATGTTTTCTGTGGATTACCTTTCAAAAGTGCTTTACTTGTTCAAATAGTTCAGCCATCACAGAAGGTCCTGCAACTTACTTGCTACTGTAAATCATCACTAATTAAGAAAATGCAAAGTTGGGCTTTCTTTGTTTAAATATTTGGATTCTGGAAGGAATTTTCCTATTTCCTTTTTGAATGGGACAAATATTGTGTAGGAATAGCATTCCAACTGGCGAGCAATTGGAATGCAGGTGAATTTTATGATAGTTGCTAAATGTATATGCAGGATATCTTGCTTGTGCTCGATGCTCCAACACTGGATCTCTTGTTCTTATCGAGCCTGTTTCAACAATGTATGGTGCAGACAAGCCTCTGTCACCACCTAAAACAGAGAGGTGTTCCAACTGTTCAGGTTCAGGAAAGGTGAGTGTATTGTTCAAATCATTGGCTCCAAATTGTCCACTCTGTGCACATACAGCGTATAAATTAGACTGGATAAATTGAACACCTCTTTCCTGAAGCGATATGAAACAGCAGGGGTAGGGGGCACTTATTCTTAACATTTGGTGGGACTGTCAAGTTAGATTAAAAATTTGACCCTGGTTAAGGTTTGGTATCTTTTCTTATTTCATCAGCACTCATGTTTCTGTGCCTTTAAATATGGAACAAAAGACGCACAGGGATTGGGGTTAGGAGGAAAAAATTCAACCAAAGGAATAAAGAGAGGAGAGGAATCGTACTGATTGACTTCTACATTTGCTACTTAAAACCAGAGCTACTCATGGCTGGCCCTTGGTGGACAATAGAAACATATTCCAAACAACGCAAGTAGCCATTAGACATTACTATGAGACATCCCCGGTATATAATAGTGATTTGAAGGTTCCTTTTATTAGTTTTAATAATAAGAATTTTGACAATGTTATCTTGTAGATCTCCCCATCAGTATTTGCATCACCACGTAGCATTCTGTATTTTTGTTGAATGTATCATTCTCCACTCTAGTTTATCTATTCAGTGACTATAAATTAAGTTGAGCATCTATCTTTGGCAGGTCATGTGCCCTACGTGTCTTTGTACTGGGATGGCTATGGCAAGTGAACACGACCCACGAATTGATCCATTTGATTAAATAGAATATAGATTTCCTTTACTGGAACTCTTAATATTGAATATGTAAAGTTTAGATGAAGCGTCACCGCTAAATGAACAACACCTATTTTATAAGAGTCAGTTTAAATTAGTATTGAGAAAATCTTGGTCTTCATTATAAGGACCAATAATGTTCTACTTCTATATGCATGATTTGCTTTATTATGCAAGTCTACACGAAATCTGGAATTTGTAAATTTATATATACAAGTGTCTTCAAGAATCTAACAAACAAACTATCAGCATCAGGAATAAAGCAATGAAACTGTGAAAGTGAAATAACAGCTTCACATATATATATAAATATGTGGAGAAATTTGTGAGGCCATGCTTCGCGGAGGCAACTTTATCCACGATTGATAAATGCCTACTCGATCTTTGGGAAACATATTTCTAAACACAATTTACAATGTGAAACAACAGCATCTACACCATGTACGGAATTATAAATAGGGTGACACCAAAACCTGTTAAGAGAGAACAGACTTCATAATACCCATATGCATGGACCTTGTTTTCCCTGTCGACCTGCTCAGGCACTGACGGTGGTGCTACTAATGCTGGCACTACCAGGGACTCTCAAGAATTAAGCAATTTTCGCATCAAGTCTCAATCTCTTGCTACAAGGATTTATATTCTTCAATCAACCGTGATGCATGGAGACGGGATGTAGGAACAGTAGTGCATCCTAGACTCTGAAGATATGCAATCTGCCACAAGGAAACGAAGTAACTGACTGAATAAGACACCCTGAGCCCCAAAACGCTGGCCTTGCTTAAAGCCTTAATAGACAATATTATTGTGTGCATGTGTACTGATTATTGTTAAAACTTGTGACCATTATAAAATCTGTAGCAGCTAATCATGTGCATCATTATAATGTTTTCCAAATATTTAATCTAAGATCCACCCAAGTAAGTGAAAGGAACACCACTAAGCAAAAATCTAGACCCCTCAAGCCTTGCGTATTATAAACCACTAAAGAGTACAAAGGGATGTTAAGTATGAATAAGACATAAGAGGATAGGACATGTTGCAACTAAGTACTCTATATAGTAGCTAGCAACATACTCAAACTGTACCCACTTTATGTGAAGCATACTTCCGGTCCCGGATGTCTTGGACTGTCCACGTCTATTCACTAAGTTTGAAGAGTGCACACAAAGTTGATTACAGGTTTCAGCTTACGTACATCAGTTAATATTTTTGAAAATGTGTTATAGTCGGTTAAACTAACAATTCTGTCCTGTATGCAATGAGTACAAAACAAAAGAAGATCAGGGAATAACAAATTCTGCATACCTGTTTGGGAGTTGGTTCTGATGTACCCATTGCACTTTCAATTCGTAGTTTTTGGAAGTATTCCTACAAGGGAAAACGTGTGATTAGCAAGTGAAGAATAATAATCTTTTTGGGGAAACACCACGAAATGCACACTAAGCTTTCTCCGTCGTCTTATTCTTTAATGTGTACAGAGAATAGGGAAACAGAAAAGGATGGATTGTCGATAACGTCATCCATCCACATTGTGCTTATGAAATCTTTAAAGCCCTGTGATTTATAATAATTAATCTGGACTAATTGCGCGCTTAATGGTGTAACTAAAGTAACCCCGAGTTGTGTGTGGACCATATGAGGGTAGTGAACTAATTGGTACAAGTTGGAATGAGTTTGAAATGGAAATAGTACCCAAGTGTTAAAGGGAAATAGAAAAGAACCAAGGCAAGTCCCAGGCTGCCTCACGCCAGCACTCGCATCACGAGGAGGCTGGGCAGGAGCCCAGGATGCCTCACCAAAGGCCTTGTGCTGCCAGAGTGCAAGCGAGGGAGGCCTTTCACTTGTTCATGTATGTGATAAAAATTGCAAGAGAACTAAAGGAGATTGAGTTTAAGCTGATACCTGTTTCTCTCTCATTATGTAAGCACGCTTCTCAGCAGGAATTTTCTCCCAGTTCAACACCTAACCGGACAAGAAATATTTGATGGAGATGCTAACTTACATTGCGGTTCTTTAGAATAAATCTATACTTGACGTACTTAAGAAACTGCAGACAGAGATGCTAACTTACAGATTCAGCATAATGCAAAGCTTCCTCACAAGTTAATGAGGACTTTAAGGCACGCAAAACATCCTAGAAAATCAACAAAAAACATGTGAGCACATTGAACATGTGGAAATAAATTTCAGAAAGATTAAGTGGTAAAACTTGATCATAAATATTCTTTTTAACAAGTAATGCCGCATCAGGTCACAAAAAATAGGCATACTTCACTTCCTGAAATCTGAATGCCTGTCCCAATTCCTTATTTTTTATGTTGGGCTCCCTGTCTTATATTGCTCACACTCCAGATATCCCTGGGCGTGCAGGGGAGTGTTGAGTATCTCACATCGGTGGGATAGGGTCATTTGGTCTCCTTCTATGGTCTTTGGCAATCCTCCCCTCACAAGGTAGCTTTTGGGGTAGAGTTAAGTCCAAGGTCCGTTTCTTTATCACCCAGGTGGCAGATACTAAGATTCACAGACAAAGCTGTTTTGTTGTATGGTGGCAAATATTTTTTTTTTCCATATTATTATTGATTTTTCTGAAAATAGAGATTCGACAAGAAGAGAAATGGAGACTCATGGTTCCAAAGGAAACAGAAAGCATCATGCTTCTGGAGAATGGAGGTACCAGTTTTTCATTATCCTTCCAATAGGTAGTAGTCACGCCCCCAACCCCAGAGACAAGAGACTAGCAGATGGCAAAGGATGAAGGCATAAGGTGGATACTGAGGTAGAAGGCGGTGAAGAATTTGGTGGAGAAGAGGTGCAACTGAAGGGATTCCTATAATGAGAACTAGACCATGAGGTTTGGTTATCTAATTTTATTGGCATTTAGGTGTTGGCACCAAATATCAGCTGTGACTTTTGAGCAAGGGCATGTGCTGCCCAAAACTAAAAGAAAAATATCAGGGAATGAATTACCAGAATTTTTGGAGTCATGTTATTAATTTATCTGAAAAAATGCAGTCAATTGATTGTTGAAATGGGAAAAAAAACAGGGCTAAGACCTTGTGAGTGCTCTTCTTGACTCTAAGGCGCTCATCAATGACAAAACCCACCTGAAGATGCCAAAAGACAAATATGTTAAGATCCAGCCTTGTGTTACGGTACTGAAACAAACTGTTTTTAAAACTTCAAGTGGCATGATTCTCGCCATTTGCCAACATCCATAAGCGGGTCTTTGCCTGTGTTGACTTAAGATACATTGGAATATTGGATACATGAAGTTAAATGTTAATATTGCTCCTCTTGCCTAAGAAATATACCCAATCATAAAGAAAATAAAACAAATGAACAAACTTTGACCTTTTTAAGCAACCTCTGTGGTTCCTGAAATGCAGGCTTTTTGGCCCATTGATGGAACAAATGAGATACAACTGTTCGGTTTTCCGCATTAAATCTGGGTAGATCAGATCAGAAATTCAATCAAAGTTAGGCTCCAAATAATAAACAGGAGTATTCTTATGTCTCTTTGCCCAATCATAAGTGTCCTAATTTACCAGTACTAGGACAAAATAATTCCATGTTATCTTCTTTTGTTTAATAATGGTGGGGTCTCGGCCAGCTTGTACGCCCTACGAGTAATTCATCGAGTACCTGCTAGCTCCCACCCACACATGTACTGGGTAAAACACTGCCTGCCTAGGCTTAGGCAGATAGGAAGAAATCACCTAGTGCTTCTTGCCTCCACTGAGATTTGTAGGTCATGTTATCTAACAGACTCATGTCACCTTTTACATAGTAAGCTAGCGAAAATATTGCAGGCTCTATTCGTTACAAAAAAAAATAAAAATATTGTAGGCTCTATTTAACTAATCAAGAAATACAACCAAAGTTATAGTGAGCTGATTCTTCATGAGTAAACCTCGAACACCCGTTATTTGAATAAACAAACTGAGTTTGAGCAATATGGTTGCTGACATATCAGCCAACTTGGGTGAAAGACATTCTTTGCCTCGTCAAGTTAGAGCACTTTTGAAGAATGTCCAAACGAGTCTTCCATGTCTTAGGATTAGACATGCTAAGGGTAAATTTGTTGGGTTCTCCACCCAACACCCACCATTACAATGGTTTTTGACCCGGAAAAAATGTTTGAGCCCACTGTCAAGCTCATATAACAAGACTCAAGCTTGCGAAAGATTGACTTGACTTGTTTACTGTTCACAAAAGCTAAGCTAACTTAGATTTTTATATATCAATTTTTACTTGATAAGAAATTCCCATTTGTCATGTATTTAACATGTAATGCTAGTCTTGTTTCCGTTCAAATTTTTCTTTATTGGCTCATTCAGACAACATAGACAATAAAAGCAAACTCTACATCAACCCAACTACACGAACGGGCTCGAGTTCGAGCCAATAGAAACTAGGCAGAGTGAAGTTGCCCGTTAAAGGGTAAGTTCAATTCAGCTCATTTACAACTCAAGTATGACAATCAATTTGGGACAGGGGAACTAATATCTTTTTCTACCCATTAAGATGATTAAACGAAGAAAACCTTTTTAGGAAGATTTTGGAATTGCATAGCTCCATTGTGTCAATTGACTCTTTGGACATTCCGTCAACTGGTTCACTGAGAGGATCATCTATTGTTATTCTATGATCAACAGATTCCACCTTTTCGGCTGAACCACTCTGAGGAGTTTCCTTCTGGAGTTTTTGGTGATTGGTCAGCTCTTCCTATTAGAAAAAAAAAAAAAGTTAGCAAGAAGGTATTTGTTTGATCTACCGGAAAAACATAAAATGCAAATTAAGCAGACAATGACAGGTTACTTTACTCATAAGAAAATTAGCAAAAGTGCAAGGTAGTGATTGAAAACCCATAAGCTCCAGATGAATTTATTTTACAGTGTGTTTAGATATCAATTATTAAGCAAGTCAAACAAACAAAATCATCTCTAAACAGTGGTAAGTTGCAGCCTCTGCAGAATGTCAAGGGCCATCTTGCCAACCAAAAAATTTTAGTGGATTGTATAAGTTGCTATAGACTAAAAGGTCGTGTTTGTTTTGGAGTTACCAAAAACTGTCTCCAAACT